TATAACTGGATAAGCTAAACATAAACTAAGGATAAATTAAGTTTAGTTTTCCAGATTATTTACAGTGTGGATTTACCTGAATACACCACTGCCATAAATGCTGCATGATCAGCATGTGCAGTCATGACATACTTCAGGATTTTAGCTGCAAAAAAAGTTGTAAAATCATGTAAAGAACAAAAACAGTAATAAAACAAATAATAGTAATTCTTGTCTAATCCCTTTAGATTTATGTATAGATACGACAAATCTCAGTAGACACAGATATTATGTAAAATCTGAATATAAGTTATACGGTTTCAATCTATCAATGTATTTAAAAAAAAACAACCTGGTAAATATGTGGCTAATGATTTAACCCAAAACAACCTCAATGGCCCCAGAATATAGAGCATACAGCAAGAGATGGTCTCATACAGAGAACCTGAAACACATTATTTTGATGATTAAAAAAATAACTCGGAAATATACAAATATAATTGGTATAACCATTCTAAATCAATTAAGAGACACATTTTAGACAGAACTGAATTAAGTTGTAAGGTCTATGTTGGATTTACTAATAGATCTCAGATAAAATAGTCCTGATGAAATACCTTCAATAAAACGCCAGATGATTGAAGTCAACAGCATAGTAATAAACGGGCAAAGGAAAAGACAAACTTGAAGACACAGCCTTGTCTCTACAATGGAGATACATATCAACTCCAGTTAGAATTGAAAATTATTTATTTAAAAAAAAATTATACATACATATTATATATATATATATATATATATATATATATACACTGAACACAATTATAAACGCAACACTTTTGTTTTTGTCATGAGCTGAACTCAAAGATCTAAGACTTTTTCTATGTACACAAAAGGTCTATTTCTCTCAAATCTTGTTCACAAATCTGTCTAAATCTGTGTTAGTGAGCACTTCTCCTTTGCTGAGATAATCCATCCACCTCACAGGTATGGCATATCAAGATGCTGATTAGACAGCATGATTATTGCACAGGTGTGCCTTAGGCTGGCCACAATAAAAGGCCACTTTTAATACTCAGGACAGTACTAAATCAAAAATAACATGCATTTTGTATGATCTCTCTTATTTTGTTAAAATTACTCACATTTTCACAGATTCTGCAAGGGGTTTACAAACTTTCAAGTGGCACTGTATATATATATATATATAATTTTTTTAATAAATAATTTTCATTTCATATATAGAATAAAGAATATAGAATAAATATTTGAAGCCTATTTCTCATATAAGCATACCTCGATTTTCTGAACTGGAGTAAACAATCCAGCAAAGCAGGAGTGCAGATACAGGTGCAATAATACAGAGAATCAACACAGTTATGTGTAGCCAAGAGAAACCTATCAAACAAACATCAGTTACACAATGTGTGACACTGTATGGAACTAAACGGCTAAATGGAACTCAGGTACTGAATTCTGGGGTAAGTCAATATATTTAGAATTTCTGCCGTACCACTCTAGACAAACAAGGTTTCATTAGGGTCCTAAGTAGAATGTCTGTGTGTCAAAAAAGGTGCCACAAAAACAAAACATCAACAAAGGACCTCTCTGGCATAAGGAGGTCTCAATATATATTTTTTTTCCTTCAGGACACAGGTTTACATTGGTCTTTTTGTGCATTTATCAAGTGATACAACACAGTTTCCAAAATTATTGATTGCACAATACAAACAAAACTTCTCTCAATAAAGTCATTATTCAAATTATTTTGAATTAAATTAAGTTAATTTAAATTAATTATTATTACAACAAAATGCATAGGCCTGTTAATTTAACAAAAACAAAATCCATTACCAGGTTTGGAAGTTAGAACCCTTGAAAGTTTCTATATACATTAGGCTACAAAGTACCTTTCAAGTTTATTTGAGGTGCCCTTTGTAAACTATTGTGTATGGAACTATTTAGTGGCTCCTGTAATTGGGACTTTGCGATCGATCCCTTTAGATTTGTGAATAAACATTTCTTCAAAGAGTATAAAATTGTTAATAGTACAAGTTTGTGTGGTTTAGATTGTTTTCTTATTTATTTGTTACTCACCCAGTCGCTCCAGTACTACAGTTGCATTGGCTGAAAGTCCTCCAGCAAACACTTGACACGTGTAAACTCCTTTATCCTCAGTTCTGACACTCTTCAGTCTGAGAGAGAAGTTTCCTTTGGGGATTTCAGCAGTGAAGAACTCAACTCTGTCTCTGTATCGCTCATCTGATGAATCTGATAAAGACTTATTGTTTTGATACAGCAGAACCAGAATATCTTCATCTTTATCAGTTTTCCTCCATGAAACCTCTTCAATGTGTTCAGGTGTGATGTGAGAGTCTACAGAGCAGTTCAGAGTGACGTCCTCACCCACAGACGCAGATATGGACTCATCTGATCCTGATACTAGCAAACGCTCTGGAAGAAAGAACAGCTGAAATATTACAGAATGAAATATAGCCTAGTTTTTGTTTTAAATTCTGATGTAGAAAATGATTCACACTTACCAACATCTTTTATTTCAACTAAAGTTTTGCCTGCAACCTGCTGACTGTAAACCTTACATCTGTAAACCCCTTTGTCTTGAGCGCTCAGATTGTCCAGACGGAGGGAGAAGTTTCCATGTTGAATCTGATCAGTAAAGAAATGAGCTCTATCATGATAATCCTGCTGCTGGGCATCTGGTTGACTCTCACCATCTTGATACAGATGAACCAGAGTCTCCGAGTCTGTTCTTCTCCACACAACTTTCACTTTTTCTGCTACTAAAGGCGTCTCAACATAACAGGGCAAAATGACAGAGCCTCCCAGAGGAACAACCAGAGGACCAGAGGGACCTCGAACAATAAACCCCAGGGTATCTGCATGTTTGAGAAAGAGAAATAAATATAGTTATTGTTATAAAGTTACAACAGACCTAAATATAAATGATAAGTTTTATAATAATTTTAGAAATACTAGGCTATAATTTCCAAGCATTTAATACATATAATTTAAGTGGTTTAAGGGGTCTGACCACACTAATTAATTAATATCGAGCACCTCAGAATAGGCGTCTTGAAAGTACTTTTAAACACCAAAACAACAGTCACGCGCTGTACCATACCGGAAATAGGACATTTAAACATTTTTACGTTTACTTTCTCTCTTAAATGTTTAAAGGTTAATAAAGGACACGTGATTATCATGGAAAAGGCATTTTGCTTTTAAATGTCACATAACTGTAACGAGAGTAATGCAAAATTAAGCCTTTTTGCTTCCTATAGCGTTAAATCTAAACAAACAATACATACCATCAGATATAACAAAGTTGAGCATTAAAACACACTGCAGGAAATGCATCTTAAAATGCATTCTGACGAAACTCTCATTATTTCCAGTGTAAATGATAAGAAACGAGCAATTTCTTATGGAGCTCAGTGCGACACAAAGGCAACTGTTTTCTTCTTTTGCTGATTTTCGACGGCACCTGAGTGAGGATGTGGTTTATTTTCAAGTGAGTGCAGAGACTTTGGTGAGTGTTAAACAATGAGTGTGCTGCGTGCATCTTAAAATGCATTCTGACGAAACTCTCATTATTTCCAGTGTACATGATAAGAAACGAGCAATTTCTTCTTCGCTCAGTGCGACACAAAGGCAACTGTTTTCTTCTTTTGCTGATTTTCGACGGCACCTGAGTGAGGATGTGGTTTATTTTCAAGTGAGTGCAGAGACTTTGGTGAGTGTTAAACAATGAGTGTGCTGCGTTAAGCTATTAGCACAAAGGAAATATGATATAATTATTGATATTGCGTGTACATCTGTGATGTTATTATTCTGATAAAGTCATTACAAACATGAACTTATAATATAGATTAACTGATTTATTTTATGTGTGTATGTTTATATTTGTCAACTGTAACAAGTGGTCTTATAGAGCCATCTAGTGGTTAGCAGAGGAGTTGACATTGGAACTCAACTAAAAGTTCTTCTTCTTCTTCTTCTTCTTCTTCTTCTTCTTCTTCTTCTAGAAGCCCAGAGGAGTCCTGGAAATGCCTTGTCCTCAAGAAGATCAGACCGACAGAGACCTCACCTGCATCTTTATAAGGAAAGAAGCCCAGAGGAGTCCTGGAAATGCCTTGTCCTCAAGAAGATCAGACCGACAGAGACCTCACCTGCATCTTTATTAAAGAAAGTCTATTGTGTGTTGTAAGCCACACAAATGGCCGATATTGATATAGTATGCAAAAACATAAATGTTCCCTTTGAATTTCACATATTTATTAAATAACTGAAATTCATTTATATAAAGAAGAACTCACCAATAACTTCAGATAATGACTTTAGATAAAAAAAAAAAAAGAAAGATTGTGTTTAAATATGAGCACTTTGAAGTATTTTATTAGAGGCAATCAAAGACCTCTCTTATATGGTTTCTTTATGAAAGTTTGATGATTTTGTATTTTTGTTTTGTAGGGCTTTTTTTTTTCTTCCAGATGTTGTGCATCTTAGTTACAGTACTGAGCATCATACTCTCATCAGCAGAAGTAAAAGAACAGCCAAGGTGTGAGCTTTACTGTCATAAAAATGTCACTTAAAAATAAAATGACACTTTTCTGAGGTGGGATTGAGTTCATTTAACCAACATTAGCAGCAGCCAGAGTCCAGAGTTTGGGATGCAGTATCCAATGGGAACGTGATATAATGCCATAAAAAAAACCTGATAAGCTCAGAATGGATCTAATGAGGTTTTTATGCTTGTGTCAACGTGGCCAAAAACTTGCTTGTTGTCACATTGGAGTAGCAGTGATAGTCTACAGAGAAGAATTGTGTGTGTGTGTGTGTGTGTGTGTGTGTGTGTGTGAGACCTTGTTTTTATATCCTGCTGGGGACTGAATGCACACCAACTCATGGGGAATCGTGTCACAGTGGGGACCTAAATTAAAGGTCCCCATCTGTAAGCTTGCAAATCATACAGATTTTTTGTTTTTGTTTTTGTTTTTTGAGAATGTAAAAATGCAGGAAGTTTTCTGTGAGGGGTAGGGTTGGGGTAGGGCGATAGCATATATGGTTTCTACAGTAGAAAAGCCATTACGCCTATGGAGAATAACTACAAGGATAGCAAACCAGACAGTTCCATGAATGATGCAGAAATAATGTTTTGTGCTAATGTTTTGAGAACATTATTAAAGACCAGAGAACATTGAACAAACATTCTATTAATGTTACTAGAAGAATATTAATAGGGTTATTAATACTAGAAGATGTTAATAAACATTAACATCTTGATGTAACATTTATCATTGACATTTTCTGTAAAGCTGTTTTGAAACAGTGTGTATTGTGACAAGCACAATACAAATAAACTTGACTTGACTGAGAGGCTGCGTTAGTGGTCATACATGCAGCAAAGTTCAGTTAAAATGAGTGAAGTAGATCTGTTATCTCCAAATGAAACATGGTCTCACAGTAGGCTATAGCATTATATATGCACCTTATACATTAATCAAAACACAAACATACCAGAGCCATCAGGATGATGTAGGTATGGATTCTCTGTCTGTTTGACCTTTTTTTTTTAAGTCTCACGCTGGGTAGGAAGGAAACGGCCTCCATTCCCTGCTCCTCCTCTTCCTGTGTCTGTGTGTTTCCCTTCTCCTGCCCAGATCATCCTGCACTTTATTTTTACCATTTTTATGATGCCCTTTCTCCATTGATCTGTGGAAAGTCCACAGATATGTCTGCCTGTATTATATAATAATCAAGACATACTTATCTATAGTCATTTATGGACCTATCAGAGAAGATAAAAGGAACATTTTGATAATGCAGCCCTGATGAAAAGGGAGAGTTCACAACAACAAAAATAATAATAATATCTCATTACATTTTTAAAAACGTGCATGGCTTTATTTGTTTTTAAGAAAATAAGTTATGAGAGAATTTTCATTTTAGGGTGAACTATTCCTTTAAGACTCCCAAGTCAAGGGCCGACTGATTAGAAACCACAGTAATACCAAAACATTTTCATGATATGAAACTTCCTTTTCCTCCTTAACTGCCTGCCTTAACTTTCTGCTTTTAGACTGAAGCGAACTACCATTGTCCCCAATGGAAGCCTATTTCTGCAACATAAGAATACAAAGCATGATTTGGCAATTCATAATTATGACATAAAATGCCATGAGACAAAACGCTTAAATAATGATGTAAGTGGAAGTTATGACATACCGAGTCATAATTATGACATAAATAGTCAAACATTAGACTACATTAGAATGATGACTTTTATCTCATAATTTACATTTCATGAATATGATTTAGTATGTCATAATTTTGACTTTTTAAAAAAATGTCATGCCATAATTTCAATGTTTTTTCTCTGAATTTTGACTTTTATGTTATAATTATGACATTTGTCATCATTTAATCTTTTATCTCATAATTCTGACTTTATCTCATAAATATGATTTTTAAAAAATTTATTTTTTTATATCATATATATGATTTACCAGAGCAGTGGTGGAAATGTACATTCATACTTGTCAATATAAATTAGATCAAATAAAACATAGAAGCAGGAAAGCTGTATGAGGGATTCTTATTCAAACCAGAACATGGATATTTGCTCATTGTCTAAATATACATTCTTGTCAATCAACATTTCCGACTGTCATCATTACACTGTAAAATGTTCTCTGCTTCACAGATGTATCTTGCTTCTGGGGTTTGAGCTCAGCGTCTGACTTTTATTACTTATACCTGCCCTAACTACCACTTATGTCATTTGTGCACTTTCAGGTAAGCCACTGTGATAAGAAAGCTGCAAGGATCACTGATGTAACTGCTTTCAGAATCTCACATCCGCACATGCAGAGACATCATGGGGTTCAAATTGAACGTTAATGAGGAACATGCTCTTATAAAGCCTGCCAGTCACATAACCCACACATTAGCTTGTTCGTTGCCAAATAAACAGTTTAAAAAAAAAACAAACAAAAAAAAAACGGTCTGTGTCTATCAGTTATGAGAAGAACATATTTTATACTATATTTTATAGATATTTAAGGCAACATTACTAGCAGTGTTTCAGTGAAACCAAAAATGTCCAAACTGCGAGCACACACACACAAACAGCTGAATTATAATAACTAAAAACTATAATTCAGTATATGACAGTATGGACAAAAAAAAAACATAAAATTATTCAGTAATATGCAACTGGACCACAATGGAGATCCAGGTTCTACCTTTAAATACTGAAAACCATCCAGAAATTGGCACAAATGTAAAAAAAAGAAAAAAAAAAAAAAAAAAGAAAGAAAACTGCACTTTGTATAATCTTAACTGGCATCAGAGCTTTGTGATCTAATAAAACACAAAGCATTTCTCTTTTACTGCATAGTAAACCTCAATTTGCTATTAGAACTCTGCAGGTCTATATTGTGAAAGTGGAATGCAGGCATACACACCCTTGCCATTTCTTACATCTGTAAAATATGGCTTTAAAATACTCAAACAATATTTTTCAGCGGTTTTGCACTCTGGGTTGTTCACCCTGCCAGTAAAGATTTACAATTGAGACATTTGACCCTTTCAAAAAAAAAGGACAAATGTCTGAAGAACTTACAATACTGAACCCTGCAAGAACACTAAAGACTCCTGTAATGCATAGGAAAAATACTTGAAGACACTTAATGGAAAAAATATTAAAATCCAATTAGTACACAATATGATATTTATATCTTTATTTTATGTTTATATCTTTTAATTCTAGTAGGTACAATAAGAATTAGCATTTTATAAAATGCAAGTTTGTCTAAGGCACATGTACAGTAGTGTGTTTTCAAAGGCGTAGTAAAAAGACCATAAAATGTTACACTGTTGCGTTTTCGTTGCGCGACAGTTTTATGATCTGTCACCTGCTTCAGCGGGGAATGACACATTTATATAGGCTACTTCAGTGTAGCCTATCAATAAATTTACCATTAGGAGCTTGTGCAACGTGCAGATCCATGCATGACATGATATAGCGTGGGTCAGAAAAACAGAAGCGCGTTTGTGCCTGTGACGTATGAAGTCCTCTGCTCTGGTCCTGTTGCGCGCAGAAGACCAGACAAACCCATAAAACCGTGCGCGCTTGGAGAGAGCAGCACCTCTCCACCTGAACCGACCTGAATGATTCAACACTACAAGTACATTTAGACATTTATTAGGTGTACAAATAGTCACTTAAATGGTTGGCCAGATGTGGATGCTATAGTCATATAAACTTGTGGTTTTCACAATGGAAAACAATGCGGATTATGTGCGCACCGCAACATAACGCCGTATAGTGAACTCATTTAAACTGGAATCGGGGATGAAGGTGATGTGCTGGCTCTTGATGTTGGATCTTAGACAAAGAGACATTGAGTCATCTAATCTTTATTGATCACAGAAACGGAGAAGAGTCTGATCAATTAGTGGAAGCGCTTCTGAAACCCAGAGGACCGCGCATTGCGTTTGAGGTAGGTTTGTACAGCTACACACTATAACCAAATAAGAGTGAAACGTAGCTTCATTCTGTGGCCGATTAAGCCTAATACTTTGCATGGCGTTTAGTGGAAATGGTCGTGTTATCGCGTTATCAACTTTAATTCCAACATTTCAAATAGCATTTTTCCCGTGAAAACTTTACCTATTGCAACAAAAGCATGTTTTGATTGGTACACTTCGTACAATTTATACTTTGTTAAATATAGCCTAGTTTAAATATATAAACATTTTGTTAGTTTGCCCATATAAAGACTGTGAATGGCAGTGACATTTTCTAGAGCTGAATTTCCATATCTACATAATTAACCATTATATTAGATTTATATTTAAATAATTGCTTAAAGACGTTCTATAAGGAATTTCCATGGGTAATTTTAGGGGCGAAGTGTCTCCAGCTACACTCTAAAAAATGCTGGGTTAAAAAGGGACAAACCCAGCTATTGTGTTGTTTTGAACTCAACCGCTGGGACAAAACAACCCAATAGCTGGGTCAAAACAAACCAATAGCTGGGTTTGTCCCTTTTTAACCCAGCGCTGGGTTATATTTAACCCAGCATTTTTTTAGAGTGTAAGCAGCTATTGAGCTATTGATTGATTGATTGATGTAATAAACTATAATAAAGTGACAATGCTTGAATGCTATGGTTACTCCCTCAGCAAACTGTCAAATGAAAATTCGCACCCTCAGTAATTCGTAACTTTTAAAATGTTTGAAACCTTATATAGCCTATAGGCCGATACATATATTAAGAATTGGCGAATAAGACCATCCTGCACAAAGAGATCTGCATGTGCACCATAGATGATTCGCAAGCTGAGCAAGGGCTCGTGATTAAATAAACCGTCTGTACCATACTATTTTACAGCTGCCCCAAAGATGCAATGGAAATGTACACTCTAAAAAATGTTAAATACAACCCAGTGCTGGGTACAATAGGGACAAACCCAGCAATTGGGTTGTTTTGACCCAGCGGTTGGGTTAAATGTTTAACCCAACCTTCTGGGTAGTAACCCAACTGCTGGGCCAAAACAACCCAATTGCTGGGTTTGTCCCTATTTTACCCAGCACTGGGTTGTATTTAACCCAGCATTTTCTAGAGTGTAAGACGGAAAATAAGTGGATGTGTCGGCACATCAACACGGCCTTTTGTTACAGTCAGGCACTCGCTTAACAAGAGCTTGTGGCGTAGAAGGCAAGTTAAATATTCACCGGTGCGGTGGAAATGCAGACGGTTCATATGAATTAGTGTCCACTGGACTGTTTGTACTCATAACAGTGACACCGTTACCGTTTGTTTCGATTTATGGTTCAGCGCATTTCTGAGGCTGTGCTTTATTTGTGCAGCACATTGTTTCGCTCTGCTCACTTTGCACGCCTCATATCCAGCGCGAGTACCACTTAAAGTCAAGGTCATGCAACACATAAACAACAGCTACATTGTTCATGCAATGACAATGCAATATGAATATGCATGTTTTTGAAACACGAAAAAAGGAAAAGCCTTTGACATTTTTGTTGGGGTAACAAACATTTTTTCTAATGTCTATGGATTTTTTTTTTCCAGTGCTGCATATCTAAAAATAGGCTAAAAGTTCCAGTTAGAACCAAATTGGGTTTTACAACCTGATGCCATAGAAGAATCTTTAAATGCCTTCAAAAATAACTGCTTATTTTCTAGATATTCAGAAAACCATTAATGCACTGAAAACAATATGCTGATCTGAAGAACCTCTACAAAATAATCTTTTACCCCAAAGAACCATTGAGGAACCTTTACTGTTAGGACTGAAAAGCTGGTTGAGTCTCCGTCCTTATGCTGATTAACTATACTGAATTAAGATATTTCCAAGTCAAGTGTATTTATGTCACATTTAATTCTCTCAGAATTGTTCAGTTCAAGTTTTAATCAGGTTTTAGAATTTTTTTGTGCACTAATAAAAGCTGTAAAAATAAAGCTCGATGCATTGTGTTTGAAGGAATTTTCCATATTGATTTCCCCATATTTTGAATTAAGCATTGCATTGTGTTAAAGGAACGTCTGATAAACTCATCACATAATGTCATTTTTCTATGGATTTTTATCCTACAGTGTGTGCAAAAAAGTCAAACAAGCAAGTTTAATTTCTCATTTTAAATATCATGCTGCTGAGATAAACCACTATTCTCATTTTGTTCTTTATAGCCCTTTGGTGACTCAAAAATCAGCGGTTCCTTGCCAAATCGGTGCCTGTATCTAAATATGGCAACCCAGGGGTCCATGTGCAACACCTCAATCTCAGACTACACAAACCAGTCCAATGAATTTCAAATGAATGGAAGCTCGATGGCCGAGGAGGACAGCACAAAGATTCTGGCCGTAATCTACCTCGTGGTGTTCGTCGTGGGTTTGACAGGCAACTCTCTGGCCATTTTCGTGGTCCTGTGCTACACCAAAATGAAGACGGTCACCAACATGTACATCTTAAACCTGGCAGTGGCCGACGAGCTGTACATCCTGGGACTTCCATTTCTCACCACCCACAACGTGCTCACCTACTGGCCGTTTGGCAACTTCCTCTGTCGTATTCTGATGTGGGCAGACTCCATCAGTCAGTTTACTAGCACATTCTGTCTGACAGTAATGAGCATTGATCGCTATATGGCTGTGGTACATCCTATCCGCAGTGCGAGGTGGCGGCGGCCCAGTGTTGCCAAGGTGATAAATAGCATGGTATGGGCACTGTCCTGTCTGCTGACACTGCCAGTCATCATTTACTGTGACGTTCAGCCAGAGCTCAACACCTGCAACCTGAGCTGGCCTGAACCGCGTGATGTGTGGTCGACCGCTTTCATCCTCTACACCGCCATACTAGGTTTCTTCTGCCCACTTATGGTCATCTGCCTTTGCTACCTGCTCATTGTAATCAAGGTAAAGTCCGCCAGTGCACGAGCGGGACTCTCCAAACGCCGCAAGTCTGAGAAGAAAGTGACGAGAATGGTGGTGATCATCGTGGTGGTGTTTGTCCTGTGCTGGCTGCCGTTTTTCATACTCAACATCCTCAACCTCATCAGCACCCTCCCGGAGAATGGCCTCATCACCGGCGTCTACTTTCTCACCGTCATCCTGACCTACGTCAACAGCTGTGCCAATCCTCTGCTCTATGGCTTTCTGTCAGACAACTTCAAGCGGAGCTTCCAGCAAGTGTTGTGCATCCACAGGGTCAACGGGATCAGCAACAGTCACCCTGCTCGTGAGCGCCTCAGCAGGAACCAACAGAATGAGGCCTTCTTCCCTCCAAGGAGCACTGATTTCAACGAACATGTCCAGAGTTATCAAGTAAGGGCCTTTGATTATGAAACACATCCTTAGCATCATCTTTTGAACAATGCATAGGCAGTCACATAGTATGAAGACCAGGGTCAATGTCAATGTTGTTATCATTAACGATCATATTCATATATATATATATATATATATATATATACATGAATATGATCAAAATATAGAAGTTTCAAAAACTTTAAAAAGTTTACATTGAAGTATTACAATGTATGGCAGCTTGTTTCTGCTACTGAATAAAAATAAAAAAGGTAATTGCGACTGTTTATCTCACAACTCAGATTTGTGAGAGGATTTTTTCTTCTCAGATTCTGAGAAGAAAAACTCTCAATTCTGGCTTTATTTCTCAGAATTGCACGTTTACATCTCAAAATTCTGACTTTTTTTTTTCAATTATGGGATATACACTGGCAATTGCGAGAAATATAGTCACAATTGTGAGATACAATTGTGAGATGCAAGACAACCCAGAATTGCGAGATATAAACTAAAATAGTCAGTTTATTCCCTCAGAATTGGACTTCATAACTCACAGTTGTGAGTTTATATTTCACAATTCGGAGAAAACAAGTTAGTATTGCAAAATATAAGCTTAGAATTGTGAGTTGGTATCTCGCAATTTCAACTATATTTCTCGCAATCGCAAGTGTGTATCCCATAATTCTGACTTTATAACTCATGACTGCGAGTTTATCACACAATTCAAAAAAATAATAATAAAATAAATCAATAAATAAATAAAAATACAAATTTAACTCGCATGTAAGTTCACAATGGTGAGGGAAAGAAGTCAGAATTGTGAAATAAAAATGTGGCAGAAATGGGCTTCTATAAAAACGACTCAAATTGCAATAAAAATAAAGCTAATAGAAATATTTACAAAAATGAATAAAAAAATAAAGCACATAACATTACAACTGATTATTAAAATGTAAATTAGATTCTAATTTAATTTACATTTAAATTAATTTGGAATTGTATACCCTAACAATTAATTTTTTTTGAATTTCCAATTAAAAGTTTCATGTCTTTACTCATCTGCCTATGAATTTGATGCAATTTTTTTGTAATGTATTTGTAACCTTCACTGAGAAACCAGCATTCATTCATTGCAATTATTCCGTTTCTCTAAGGCCTTCATTTTATCACTCATTAGTTATAGCACTATGAGTAAAGAGGGAAGGATGCTCATCGATAATGGTCATAAATGTCAGGCTTATCAGAGCAAACAGCAGAGAACACCACAAGCAGAACATCACTAAATCTTCTCGAATCAAACAGGTCTGGCCCATCACACCTTAGTCATCAGATTATGAAACATTATCCTCAAAGAAGGGATATAGACCATAAACACAGAACAACCGGGTACATGTTCCTTTCTCAGGCCGCGCCAACATTCCAAACATTCTAATTAGAATAAATTTAGAATGTTGAGAAACATGGAAGCTTTGAACGCTGGTATATGTTGGGGCCTTAAGAAACAACATTTCTATTAAATGATCACTATTGCATAATGGACTCTACAACACTACTGAAGGCATGTCGATTTTAACTGGTTGTTCTGTACATAAATGCCCCTAAAAAGTAGATCTGAATGAAAACAAATACTCAGATTACATCTGAACTGCATTTAAAGAATAGAGTTCTTAGAATAGTTGTTACAAGGCTAAAGGCTTTATTCTTTCTATTGTTTTTGCTTTATGAAATCCTATACCTACCTTTTCCTTTTCAGTCCATTGGTTTGGAGGCCGAGGCCTGTGATAAATCGGAAAACCACCTACCTGGACCACAGCCGAGCAGCCAATCCATATAAAATCTGAAAGTTGGATGGATTTTTCCCCCTTTTAACACATATATTATTTTTGTTCTGTTTGAGTCGGCCGTCCAATCAAAGTCATTATGACATGGTCAAAATATACGGCTTTATATAAAGTTATTGTTGTCTATGCCTAGAGCAAACACTCACATGTGCACAAACACAATACATTTCCATATAAATCACTCTGTGATGAGAAGATATCAGTGATGTTATATATAACTGTAAATATGAATTATAATGGCAAATGGCTCATCATTTTGTTCAGCATGACTGAATGAAACTGGGAAACTGTTCATCCACGACCTTTGGACCAATTTGGACAGTTGAGAGAGGAAGTGGCTTCTGCTGCTACATTTTGATGGATCATTGCTAATTTGGTGGCGGTTCTGAACATTTTCACTCTCGAACAAGCTCTCCTGGTGATTTTCTGCATTTGAAAACAGAGTGATACACAAGGTTTGGTGGAAATGCCAAACAGCATATTTATTAAAGGCAGAATGTCTTATTTATGATGGATGAAGATGCTTAGTTGGAGCTAAAGCAATGGCCAAAACATCCTGAGAGCAGCAAGAAGCTGCTCAGGCAGAAATAAAACAAATTATAATTTTTCTTTAGTCGGGGGTTGATAAGGTGTGTTATGCTACCTTAGTCTTGATGTTGTTTGTATCATTAATAAACCTGGATTTACAGGATTACAATAAGTTTTAAATCGAAACATGGGACTCTTGTAATAATTCTGTAGTAAAAGACGTATGTTACTAGATTATTATGTGCTGTATATAGTAAACCAGTGGTTCCCAACCCTGGTCCTGGAGGCACCCCAACACTGCATGTTTTGCATGCCTGAATCAGGTGTGTTTGATTAAGGAGACATGCAAAACTTGCAGTGTTGGGGTGCCTACAGGACCAGGGTTGGGAACCACTGTAGTAAACAATACTGTAAAGTTAATTACTTTAAATATAGGTCCAGGCAAAATGGTTTATATTAACCTGTCAATCACACTGTTCAGAGTTCTACAAGTACATAAACAGCTGCTTACAAGTACATTAAACAGTGTATTACACAGCTGCTTACAATGATTCAAAAAAATATCTCCATCCGTTAACATCTCATGACTTGTTTGAGTTTTTTAATTTTTTTACTGTAGACAGATTTTACCTTTACATCATCAGATTCCTTATTTGTGTCCAGGGCCAGAAGGTCAGCAGATTTTCCATACTTTATTGGCTTTAGATTTACAGAGACTGTATTCATTAATAGACACTTCTGGGTCAGTTTAGCCAATGATCAACAATAGCCCCCAGGCAGGTATGAAAAAAAACAAAAAAAAACAAAGAGGCACGCATAAGGGACAATACTCAAAACAAGATAAGTATGCAGACAAAATGTTACATAGACAAGACAGTCAACTTAGACAAAATGATGTTTCTGCATCAGAACAGATTTGGAGAAATGTAGCATTACATCACTTGCTCAGCAATGGATCCTCTGCAGTGAATGGGTGCCGTCAGAATGAGAGTCCAAACAGCTGATAAAAACATCACAATAATCCACAAGTAATCCACACCACTCCAGTCCATCAGTTAACGTCTTGTGAAGAGAAAAGCTGAATGTTTGTAAGAAACCATAATTTTAACTTTAAACCATTACTTCTGGCAAAAAAAAAAAGTTCATAATCCATAATAATGCTTCGTCCAGTGAAAAAGTTTATCCCCTATTGTTCTCTCACATCAAAATCCACCAACATATTTCTTTAAACTATTTTGGACTGTTTTCGCATGTAAACAGTGCTTGACCGTTGCATATTTTTCTCCTATTTCAGACAAAATGTATTTTTCACTGGAGAAAGCAATAATATGAATAGAAGACTTTTAGCCCGGAAGCGACGGTTTGAAGTTAAAAACATCTTAATGATGGATTTGTCTCTTACAAACATTCAGCTTTTCTCATCACAAGACATTAACTGATGGACTGGAGTGGTGTGGATTACTTGTGGATTATTGTGATGTTTTTATCAGCTGTTTGGACTCTCATTCTGACGGCACCCATTCACTGCAGAGCATCCATTGCTGAGCAAGTGATGTAAAGCTACATTTCTCCAAATCTGTTCCAATAAACAAACTCATCTACGTCTTGGATGACCTGAGGGTGAGGATATTTTCAGCAAAATTTCATTCAGAGGATGTACTTTCTCCGACTAAAAAAATGAGTCCGCTGCAAGATCAGTTCTGGTTTTACATTACATCATCATCCAGTCAGCAAAAAGATCCATTGTGTGTTGCTAAAAGCACACGGACCAGATCCCTTCCACTGCTTTTCTGAAATACTATGCTGAAATAAGAAGGTTCAACAAATGCAAAACATTTCTATTAAATGGTTACTGTTGCACTTTGGACTCTATAAATACCATGCCCTTTCTGGCATGCAGGCAAATTCCTGCAAATCTATAGATCGTACCGTCTTTACAAGTGCACCTTTTACTCTTTTATTTCTTCCTTCTCTTAAAATGTTTCATTATGCCGAACAATAATCCTTATAATCACTGTTTATTGTTGACGTATCATCAACAGGTTCTGGCCGTTCGTTTTTCAGGGCATATGCGTTCCAGTGTTTGTTTTGAGTTCAGTCACTCATTTGCCACTAGCTTTAGCGGACTTGTCAATGTTAGACCCAGCCACACACTAGACAAACCAGTTTCATCACAGTGTCTTTCCATTCTCTATCTCTTTGTCAACATGCTCCCTTTTCTCTCAATTTTGCCGTCTCTACCCGCATGTTGATGTTGTTTACTGACAACCCGTCTCTCAGGGTGCAGGAGGTTGCAAGTGTCACTTGTCATTTTTCTATACGTTCAAACCTGCCATATACAAACTTTCAATGTCAAAGCAGAGGACAATACTCAGCATGCACTGGAAAAAAGTGCTTTAAATTGAAATACTTATTTCAGTTCCACAAATCAGTAAAGATGCATCAACATCATTATTCCTCTCAGTCTTTAGTAAAATAATTCCCATATATTTAATATAATGAAATAAAATATTTTAAGTGACCAAGTTAGTGATTCTATGCATGCGTATGATTCATATGTTCCTTTTTACATAACCACACAAGTAGCATACTAAATAGTAATTTCCTAACGATTAAATTATAAAATGTCATACTGTTCAATGTCGCCCATTTCTCAAAAACACATACAATAACATTTAAATTCAATGTTGAATTTACATTCAACATTCACTCTCCCCATTAGCCCCATGCAAAGCATATACTGGGAATTACAGATCCCCTGCCCAGTTTCAGTTCAAAATCAAAATGATACATGTAGTCCCAACAGAAATTGATTACTGTGGATTGAAAGCAAATAAATTAGAGTTTTTAGGAGTTTTTGCTACATTAGCTTATTTTCTGAAAAAAGTTTTTTTTTTTTTAAGTTAACTCAGCAGGCTCTAAATGTTATGTTTGTTTGTACTCATTAACCTTTGAAAAACACTAATGGTCAAATGAAATGCTGTAAAACAATGTACAAAATACTAAAAAATATAAATTTATCAAGTACATAGGGTAAAACAAATCTAAATAGATGGATTTTCCCTTTGCTTAATGTCTGTGTGATGTGTTGTTGTTGGTTAGTCCTGTGGTGACATAATCTGTGAATTAAGTTTTGCTGAGTGAAGCAAAGCAGAGAGACTGTAAATTACTACCAAATAATTTGTTAATCTAACAACAATGCAGAAGATCAGATTTAAGATCTTAAAATCAAGGCCTGCTGAAAATGCACTCACCCTCACAGGTCATCAAACATGTAGATGAGTTTGTTTCTTCATCAGAACAGATTTGAAGAAATTTGGCATTACATCATTCGCTCATGAATGGATCCTCTGCAGTGAATGGGTGCCGTCAGAATGAGAGTCCGAGCGGCCGTTAAAAAAACAGTTCGTTTCTTACAAACATGCAGCTTTTCTCTTCACAAGACATTAACTGATGGACTGGAGTGGTGTGGATTATTGTGAAGTTTTTATCAGCTGTTTGGACTCTCATTCTGACGGCACCCATTCACTTCAGAGGATCCATTGCTGAGCAAGTGATGCAATGCTGAATTTCTCCAATTCTGTTCCCATGAACAAACTCATCTACATCTTGGATGACCTGAGGGTGAGTACATTTTTCATTTTTTGGGGGTGAACTATTCCTTTAAGCATTTTTAAGAATTGTGAGTTAATGCAAACATAAAGAAAGGAAGAAAAATCTGAAGCTAACAGAACAACAAGTCTAGAGAATTTTAACTCTTTTAAAGTAGACGAGGAAACGCCCTGCAAGAGAAAACTGCATTTTGTCATCCGAGCCCTCTTGCACACAAAGGCGGATATGGGAGTGAAAATAGATTTCCAGTCTCCTTTCAACCCAGTTGTTTTTAAATTGGCTAATTTAGCGAGGTGTTAAGCCCCACTGATAATACAATTTGAAGTACCATTCAACAAATAAGACATTTTACCTTCCCTTCATTTCATTTGAAAAGAAATGGGATTGTAGGTTATTTTGGGAAGCTGTTAGCGAATTGCATTTGCCTGAATGGATGGAATCGGAAATCGGAAAACCACTTGAGCCATCCAACAACTGGCCTTTCCCAAAATCACATTTGGCATTCATTCTCACGCTGACGGATTCACGGTGAACTTTACCTAAAGGTCAGAAGACCGAATATGTGTCTCAGGTTTCTGTTTCAGTATTGTATATAGAATATCTGATACATGCGCTTTTGACTCCACTAATCAAAGCAAAAGTTCAAAGTGGTTTGAAGACCGTTAATGCAAATTGTTCTGAGAAAACGTTGCTATTTTCCAAGCAGAGTTTGAACCCATAAATGACAAAGTGCCAAATACCAGGAGGTCATACATCGATAAGCATGCCCATCAAGAGCCATGGCACTTCCTGGAAACAATTTTCCCCTCATAGGAAATAATCCCATTACATTTTGTCCAGCACTATTTGGTCAGTGCATTAAGGTCTACATACAAGTGATTAAACTGTTATGGAAAATGACTGCTGTAAAGATTTAATTTAATTTAATTAGCATTGTAAAGTGCATGTATACTTAAAATAAACATTGGCTGCTGTTATCGGACAGTGCCATCTAGTGGCCATCAAAAGATTAAGGTGGATACCTAAACTGTCAATGCAAATATATTCTAGTCTTTTTTTTTTCATCTTAGTGAAGATGAAGAATTATAACTGTCCTTTTCTCAGTTACTTAGTTGCCAGCCACAATTAACAGTAACAAAATCAGAGACAGCAAGGTTGTCAGATGGCCAGTGACTCTACTGACTTCTTATCTCTGACGTCACAAGATAGAAACTGAACTGCACATTATACAATACTGGAATAAACAGAGGAATCATACAATGTCAATTTTGTAAACAATGTAAATTCTGTTTCATCTTACAGTGTGTAAAATGCCATAAAACAATTTTACTGACAGGACTGGAATGTATTAATTATGACTGACAGTGACATCTAGTGGTTAAAAGTGGAAACATTTAAATTTAAACGTGCATCAATCAATCTATCTATCTATCTGTCTGTCTGTCACTGTCTGTCTGTCTGTCTGTCTGTCTATCTGTCTGTCTGTCTGTCACTGTCTGTCTGTCACTGTCTGTCTGTCTGTCTGTCATCTATCTATCTATCTATCTATCTATCTGACTGTCTGTCTGTCACATTCACTTGATTTCAAAGAATTTATGGAAGATGTTGTTTGCCTCAATGTTTAGTTTCTACGAAGGCTTTTCATCTTTTTGCACAAAGGGGCAGGGGAATATCTAGACTGATTATTCTCATGTGCTCATATCATACACTTCATAATAATCTTGCACATTATACAATACTAGAATAAACAGAGGAATCATACAATGTCAATTTTGTAAACAATGTAAATTCTGTTTCATCTTACAGTGTGTAAAATGCCATAAAACAATTTTACTGACAGGACTGGAATGTATTAATTATGACTGACAGTGACATCTAGTGGTTAAAAGTGGAAACATTTAAATTTAAACGTGCATCAATCAATCTATCTATCTATCTGTCTGTCTGTCTGTCTGTCTGTCTATCTAGATGTCCACCAGACGCTCAGGGTTGGCAGGTATAAACAATCCTTAGAGGAACAGTTTGATTGTGCTGCTGCCATGTCAGTTTTACACAGAGAAAGTCCAACGTATTATCGTTCAGCAGATCATAAATGAGAGGTCCTTTGTTTATTAACGGATGAATGTTAAATAAGCCAAATTGTTCATACCAGATTTGATGTTAGCTGGCCTGGCTAGGCTAGCTAGCACACTGTGGTCGACAGTCCGCCTTGATTTCTTTGAAGGACACTGGATAATCAAAATGATCATGGATATAGTGGTGAAATTAGAGGCTCGGAGGTGGGTTGTAGTAAGAAAATTTCCGCTGTTGTATATTGAAATATCAATGTCACTGGATGGATGATGAGAAGAGGTATAATCCATGTAAGAAGCCTGTTGATCCACATTATTATAACTAACTCCAGGGTAAGCTCCGGGAGGAAGTGAGCCAAGGGCTTGATCACTCACACAATTAAAAGCCACCAAGTTGTTAATATTTTTTGGTTAAAAGAGTCCTTTGATCCTTTCAGTTGATCCTTTAAATTAAAACAACCATGGTTTATAGCAATTATAAAACAATCAAACAATTATTAGATAATAATTAGAAGTTTGCACCAGCATTCGCTTCCACCGGAAGTTCAGCATTATGTCTCTGTCAGTGTGTCTGTAGTGCTGAATGACTGTAGTGCAGCATTTACTTAATTTTGAATTGCAAGAATCTCAGAGAGGAAGCGGTTTCGAAGAAAGGAAAGACGGTGTCAGTGAAGGTGGTTGTGAATGTGTGTAGATGTGTGTTAGTTACAGGATCAAAGAATAACACCATTCCTCTGTCATAGACCAGATACACTCTCACACGCTCAAGATCCTGTCTAACAGGAAAACCAGACCTTTCATACAGTCCATACTGCACACTCCACACATCAGTGTCAAAGAACTCACGTCCCTTCCTTTGGTTCGATGCTGTAGTTACTCCAAGAATCCAGTGTGAATTCCCTTTAACCTCCACATCCCAGCGGTGTGTTCCTGAATTAAAACCCTCTGAACCCAGAACACAGGAATAGCTGTCAAATCTCTCCGGATTATCAGGAAGCGGCTGTTTGTTCCAGAGGTCTTTCACGCAGGTCAGATCATCAGACAGGACGAGAGATGGATGAGCAGTGTTTGGATCCAGAATCACAGGAGCTGATGAGACACAATCAACAGCTGCTTTTATTCTGATGTTCACATAATGATCAAGAGTGAACCAAACACAGATTATTATGAATTAATTAATAAATGTTATAAATATTCCAGAATGTGTCATGTCCAGTGTATGTGTAAGAGCACAGATCTTCTCCAGACTCACTGTATTGGACAATGTCCTGCATCTTCTTCCAGACTCTGAAGGGCAGGTTCCCCAAGTAACGTGGCACATGAATCAAAGCTCCAGAAGGCGTCTGTAGATCGGGCTGCAAGATCTGGACTCTGGAAGAACATTCAGGAGTCAGAACTGCAGTGGCTTTGACTTCAGAAGCAGAGAGACCAGAGACACCAGCAGATCACTCACCTTTCCATTGAGACTGGAAACTTCTGCAGAACAAACACTCAATTTATCATCAACAACTCAATCAATCAATCAATCAATCAATCCATAATCTGAAATCAGACCTTTAGAAAGCAGACGTCATTGTCTTGCATCATCTCCTCCGTGTCTTTGATTGTGTGTGAAAGAGCTGAGATGTGTCTGTTGATCTCCTCCAGCTTCTCCTTCATCATCTGCTTCTTCTGCTCCTCTTCCTCCCTCAGTGCAGTGATTGTAGCTTCTTCTTCATCTCTGAGAAACTGATGAAACGTCTCAAACTGCTGTTTAATCTGACGCTCTGTGTGTTCAGCTTGAGACTGAAATCAAATCACATTCACTTCAATCATCTCAATCAACACACCTCACATCATTTACACAAACGTTTTGTTTTTTACCTTAAAGAAATAAGATTTTCACTGAACATATTTGAGTTGCTATAGACTTCCATTTGTATTATTTCATAGGTTTGATGACTACTCTTATTTTACTGTGTAGATAACAGTCATTTCTTGCATTTCTTCTGTACTGGGGTGTAAGGCTGCAGAACCTCAAAGACTTGAGATGGACAATCCAAACAGTGAATTAGCATACAGATATTTGTCTTGTAAAGGGTTGCAAAAAGGTAGACAATTTCCAGTAAATTTCTGAAACATTCCAGAAATGTTGGAAACTTTCCAGGATTTTTTTTTTTAATCTTCCCAGAATTTTTGGAAGGTTTCCGGAAATTTACCAGAAATGTTCCACCCCTTTGCAACCCTAGTCTTGTGAGCATGTTTTGCCTTCACATTTGTTCCTTCTGCACCACTTCCTTCCCTTTCACTTGTTTCACTCAGAATGGTTACATGTAGAATACAATGTTCTGTGTGAATGCAAAAGATTTTCACATTTGTGACCCTGGAGCACAAAACCAGTCTTAAGTTGCTGGGGTATATTGTAGCAATAGCCAAAAAAAGCATTGTATGGGTCAAAATTATCCATTTTTCTTTTATGCCAAAAATCATTAGGATATTAAGTAAAGATCATGTTCCATGAAAATATTTTGTAAATTTCCTACTGTAAATATATCAAAACTTAATTTTTGATTAGTAATATGCATTGCTAAGAACTTCATTTGAACAACTTTAAAGGCGATTTTCTCAATATTTAGATTTTCTTTTTGCACCCTCAGATTCCAGATTTTCAAATAGTTGTATCTCGGCCAAATATTATCCTATCCTAACAAACCATACATCAATGGAAAGCTTATTTATTCAGCTTTCATGTGATATATAAATCTCAATTTCAAAAAATTGACCCTTATTACTGGTTTTGTGGTCCAGGGTCCCATTTATGTATGGCATCATTTTAAATGTCTCAATCTTCTCATCCCACAGTAGTAAGCTAAAAGGTAATAAAGAGTTAAGAGTTTAGGAATACTGAAGCAGCTGTAGTGGGTGTGCTCTTTCCCAGGGTATTCAACCAAATTACCTCCCGTTTCAAAATAAGATATAAACTTCCAAAGTCTAGGATCCTGTTCAGTGCCAAATCCAATTGTTAGTTCATGTCTCAATTTGCAGAATGTTTTGTCTTGGTCTGGGTATTTAAGAAAAATGTGCAAAAGGCTCAGGGTCTTTCTGCAACCATATGAGCCTGTAGTATTGAGTGTATCACACACATTCAGCACTATGTATTTTCTAATGTTAGCTGTGCATCTTCTCATACTAGATTTAATTTAGATTTTTTTTTAGGAGTCCAAGCACTCAAGAACAGCAACTGTGTGTTATAGAAAACAGTTCATTCTCCCCCCCCCCCACCTTTTTTTTTCCTGGATACATTGCCTTAAACACTGACAAAAGTAAAAATCTAACTCTTCTAAGTTTGTCAGGTCTTCAGCAAATTTTGCATGTCAGCTTTAGACTATGATACACAGTTTAAACTTTAATAATCACAAATTTTCAAATGTAGCTTGATGTTAATTGTACCTCTATTATATATATTTTAAAATGTGTTATTGTAAGCATTAGGCTATAGATGGTTTGTGTTTCTGGTGTAGAACCAAACTTTATTTATCCTAGGCCTAATTTAATGCTGTAGCCTATATTGAGGAGCGGACGATGTTAAATCCATATACGAGATACATATGTGAGGAAAATATGCGAAGTGCCTACGCCTACAGAGGTAACCCGTGTCTAGGCTCTGCCCCGGTCAAATCATTCACTGGGAAACAACTGATGATGGCACGGTTTAATATTTCGTTGAGCAACTGGCAGAAAAGGGCGTTTCGATTTTATTCGAGCTGGTTATGTGTTTTCAACCGAGCCGAATTCTTGCTTTATTTTTGATTTTGAAAAAAGAAAAAGAAAAGAAAAACGGTTGTTTTCTTATTTTTTACACGATACCCCACTCCTCGTTTAAATAATTGATTAGACCGTTTCCTCACCTTGATGTGTTGAACTGTTTTCTCAAATTCCCCTTTAATGTTCTCTTTGTGTTTAAGTTTCGCTTGTAAGGATTTTAGTGCTGTATTTAGCTTCTCCTAGAATTCAACAAAATGAAAATACAAAACGGATCAGCTGCTGAGAAAATACATTAATATGATAACACCGTATATGTGATATAAAGCTAAGCCAACTTATTAATTTCTCTTACCTTATATGATGAAACCGATTCACTGATTGGTCTGAATTTGTGGTTGTCGTGTGTCTGTGAATCTCTACACACTAAACACACAGGCTGTTCGTCCTCCAGACAGAAGAGTTTGAGTTTCTCACCGTGTAAACTGCAGATTTCCTCAGATGTTGAAGGGCTCTCATTTCTCTCCTTCAGAAACGACTCACACAAGTTTTTTAACACAAGATTAGTTGGAGGATCATCCCTTGAGGATCTTCTCCTGCAGACAGGACACTCCGGAGTTTCCTTGGTTCTCCAGAACTGTTGAAGACACGCTTTACAGAAACTGTGACTACATGATAAAACAACAGGATCCTTGAAGATTTCATAACACACAGGACAATTAAGTTCTTCTACAAACGGTGAATCCATCTTTACTGTTTGACAATCCATTTTTTCTTCAACAATCTAAACTTTACTTTCACTTTCAGAATGATGCATTTAAAAATGAATGACCACGAGACACGAGAGAAGTCAGAAAAAGTTTAGAAAAAGACTTCCCAAAAATCCTTTTTGAAAGGGTTTCACTTCCTTCTCAACTAATCCCTGATACTTTTTTTTGCTTTAGTCAAGACAAGGGTCTGTATGGCAGAAAAGAGTAAAAATAAGGGTGGAGTTCTGCAGGTTAATGTGACCAAAATATATTCAAAATGAACACGTGTCAGACTGTGTTCCCGTGTCTTGTGTTTTGTTCCCCTCGTGCTCCATGTCCTGGTTTCCCCTCCTTATGCCATTGCCCATATTTGGCTCTTCCTGTTCCTATCCTTATTGTGTTGATTTGATTCCAGCTGTGTCCTGTTCATCTCCTCGTTATGTTCTGATTATTTAAGCCTCGTGTCTTTCCATTTCCCGCGTCCGGTATTATTTGTCCGTGTGCTACGTGTGTGTCTGCCTGCCCTGTGTTTCCCTGAATTAGAAGATTAAAGGTGCAATAGGTGATTGTCTTCAGAAACATTTTTTGTTATGCTGGTTGAAAGTCTTCACATCCCGATATAGCAATCATTAAGTTAAGTGGTCTAAATGTATTTGTCTGTATTTATATATTCTGTGGAAGGCGTAGGATCAAGAAATGTTTGTCCAATCAAAATGCTCGGTCCAAGCGTTTTAATTGGCTTTCCTACCTGCCTGTCAACGTATGTATTAGCATACCTCTGCGCACCCTGTTCG